GGGGCAGCGTCAGCGCCAGGGGGCCCAGCGCGGCCGGAGGGGACAGGGTCAGGGACAGGGGACCCAGCACAGCCCCTCCCACACTCTCCAGGACTCCACCTGCTCCCTGCCCCTCCTTACAGGACAGACACCGAGCCTAGGATGTGCCCCCTTCCCCACCCCAGATGCACCCTAAAACCCCCTCTCCATGAGCAGTTGGTGCCTCGTTTCCCGGTGGGATGCGCCCGGCTCCCCCCCCAGGCGTGGGGCCCTGCTCTGCCTCTCTCTGCAGAGAAATGGCTCAGGGCCCTACCAAATTCACGGTCAATTTCACAGCCATAGGATTTGAAAATTGGTCAATTTCACGTTTTCAGATGATTAAATCTGAAATTTCAGATTTGTCACCAGTGGGTCTGACCCAAAACGGGACTGTGCGGGGGTCAGAGCTGGACTCTGAAGGCAGCAGCCGCAGGAGGTTCCTGGAGGTGGACGTGGGTCTGATCCCCCCCTCTCCCCCCTAAGCAGCTGTGCAGGAGATGGACAAGTCCTGTCCCCCCTGCCCTGCCGGAGCGCGGGGGGCTCTTTGCTGGGGTGCTCCTAGGAACAAGGAGACCTCAGATTTCACGGGGAAGGGCTTATTTCACAGTCCGTGGCACATTTTTCATGGTTGTGCAATTGGTAGGGTCCCAGCAATGGCCCTCCGGGACACGGGCGTCCCTCCCCGGGGAGACGCGCCCGCCCTGCTATCTAGGCCTCTCCTCATCCCCCCTGGGATCCACTGACCAGATCTGCTGTCGGGCTTTATTCCACCCCTCGATGATTTTCCAGCAGCCCTTCTAACCGCGCACCCCAGAGCTGGGCGCAGGCTCCAGCACTGACCCCACCAGTGGTGGCCACAGGGGACCCCCTCCCAGCTCGGTTCATCCCGCCCAGCACCCCAGTGTCCCCCGGCCCAAGGGCTACCGACACTCACTGGCCCCGGTCACCACGTGGCCGCCTGGGATGGTCTTGGGCTTCGACGTCTCCCAGACGTGGCGGCAGAACTGGGCCACCTGCTGCCGGAACTCGGGCTCCAGCTCGTCCTCCCGCAGCTCCTCCAGCCGGGCCAGGTCCCTCCTGCCGGCCGGCTGGACGAAGACGAAGCATTTCCGGGCTGGGAAGAACTGGCGGATGCACTCGCGGGGCAGGTTGAAGAGCTGGGCTCGCTGGCTGCTGCCTGGGGAGGAGACGGGAGATGGACAGCAGCCCTGCGCCGACATGCAGCTGCTTCTGGGGGGCAGCACGGCGACTGTTGGACAGATTCCCCTGGGGGGGAAGAGACCCCGATATCCACAGGGGATTGAGGGGAGCCGGGGAACTGTCCAAGTTGCAATGTGGCCAGGACAGCAAACACCCCAACTCCCAGGGACCGGTAACCCCCGCAAGGTGTCAACAGCTTGGGTTTCTGTCTTGAGCAAAAGTCACCCCCTCTGCAAGCACAGCGCCCCCTAGTGCATCCTGGGGCCAGCCTTGACAGCCAGGGGAGAGGCCCCACACCCCCTGCATCCCAGTGCCCCTTAGAGCTGCACTGGGGCCAGCACCGCTCCCCTACCTGGCTTTAGTTTCAGGCCATTCTCCAGGTACTCGTCCTCGGTGATCTCCCGCCCGTCCAGCTCCAGCTGCAGCGTGAAATCCCGCACGGCCCACACGAAGGCCGGGAAGAACCGCACGAACTCGGCCGAATCCTCCCCCTCCTGTCGGCTGCCCCTGCCCGCCGCCTTCACCTTGATGCGCTCCGTCAGCTCCGTCACGTAGCTGGGGGCTGGCTAAGGAACCAGAAGTGTGGCGCCCCCTGAAAGAGGGGGTCCTGCTCCCTCAGAGCCTCCCCTCCCCGCCTGCGACAGGGGCTCAGAATGAACAAGGGGAAGGGAAGGATAGTCCATCACAACCCTCAGAAGCAGGGGTCGAACCCACCACCTCCAGGGTCCAGAGCAGCCCCCTACAGCACTGGAGCTGAAGGAGCAACTCTGCCAGCTGGTGGCAGTAGTGGGTTGTTATCCCATCATGCAGAGCAGCCACTAGAGGGGGCCGTGGTGCACACCCCGCGCTGAGGGTCACGATTTCACTGGGGGTGAAGCGTTTGGAGGGAACCGCGAGGCCCTTCCCTGGGGATATGGGGCCCCCCAAGCCCCCAGACCCGGCTCCCCGGCCCGCAGGCAAGGATACTGCAGTTGGTCCATGGCTTGCTGGTTGATGGTGCCCATGCTGTTATAGACCAGGGTGCTGCTGAGTAGCACGGCCAGCGCGAAGATCCATGTGTCGTTCTTTGCGTCGCCCTGGAACGACACCCACCGTCACTGTCCCGAGCGCATCCCAGCCACAGACCTCACAGCCCATCACAGAGCATGGCAGGATCGCCAACCCCACGGCACAGATGGGGAAACTGAGGCACGGGGGAGGGTTGCCCAGGGGATCAGCCCCCAGCTCTCCAGAGTCCCAGCCCAGGCCACGGTGAATTCCCATTCCTGGAGCTCGGAGAGTATGACATTATCTGATTATAATAGAACATCTCATTGAAGTATGGCCCACAGCCAGAAAGGGTTACGCATCCCGCAGGCCAGCTGACCCACAGTAACCTGGAGAGGCAGGTGAGGACAGGTTGCAAATGATCATTAGGACCGTTCAATGCTAGTGAGGATGGAACTTCGAAGTGCAAAGGTGGATTGTTAGAAATTGGAGGTAATTACTCGCTAGATACGTTTACTTCTATCTATTAGATGCCAACCCTGTAACCAGCCAGCGCCGGTCTATTCCCCGCGCTACTGCTGCACAGATCAAAAGGGAAGGCTGACTTTTAGGAGAACCTTGAAGTAGTGGCATTGTTCATATGTCTCTTTAAAGTCTGTGGTAAACTGTCTATGAACTGCTGAATGGCCAAATGCCCTTGTGTTAATGACCAGGATATTGGGAAGACAAGGGGTTAGCGCCGAAGTCTATTGTTCACCCAGGACTGAATGCCCAAGAGGCTGCGGGAGCTGGAGCTGATCCTGTTTATCGCAGGTCTGCTTAAGGTTTCATGCAGGGGAAGCCTGAGCCACAAGGATTGAGATCCAGTCACTGGCTGGAGTCACCCTGAATATGGACATTGGACTGTAACCTCTGGACTATTTCTAAAAGGACTTTTGGCAGCTACAGGCTCACCTCTGCTATGTACCTGAACCTCAAGCATTGAATTCAAGTCTGTCTGTATATTGATCTTTTAACCAACACTCTCTCTTTTCTGTTTTTTAATACATTTTAGTTTAGTTCACAAGGATTGGCTCTAAGCGGGATTTTGGGGTAAGATCTAAGTTATACGTTGACCTGGGCACGTGGCTGGTCCTTGGGGATTGGTAGAACCTTTTCTTTTATATGATGAAATAAGAGTTTCAGAAATCATCGTGTTTTGACGTGGGTACCTGGATGGGGGCCTGAGGCTGGGCACTTTAAGGGAACTGCGTTGTTCAGACTTCTGAGCAACCAGGGAGGTACTACAGAAGCTGTTTTGGTAAATCTAAATATTGAAATATCCACCAGCGTTTGGGGTTTGTCTGCCCCGTTCTGTTTGCAGTTCACCCTGATTGAGTGACCTCAGCTGGCTCCCACGGGCACCATTGTCACTCTTTGGGGTTGGGGTATTTCCCCACACACACCCTGTGAAATCCCCAGCTCCCGGAGGCACGGGAGGGGGTGGGAGCGCTCGTTGCTCCCCTTTTACTGAAGTAAGTTTCCAACCCATGTGGCTGCATTCAAGCTTTGGGAAGGCGACACCTCCCCGCCCCATGGGGTTCAGCTGCAGCAGCCCCCACTGCAGGGCGCGGGGTTTGCAGCTGCTCTCGTGCATTTTTTGGGTCCCAACTTTATTTTGCCTTTTGGTGGCTGGCGTTACCGGCCCTTCCAGCTTATCGGTTGTGTCTGAGCCCCACCTCCAGAGCGAATGTATTTATCGTCACACTTCCTCTGGCAGGCGGGGTGGGGAAACTGAGTCCCAGCTCAGACCGGGGGTCTGTGGAGCAGGGATATGAACCCGGCTCTCCGGAATGCCAGCCCTGCCCCCATCGCTACAGCGGGTCGGGAAATTGTCACTGGAGAACACTGAATCATTGATACCAAAATCACAAGCAAAACAGGGTCGCTTCAGGCAAATTTCCCAACTTGAAAAATTATTGGGGAAAAAGTTTCAGAATTGTAGAAATGGCCCAACTGACCGTTTGTCTAACCGGAAACTTTCCATTTCTCAAGGTAAAATCATATTTCATTGCCAATGTTTTGGTAAATTTGGACCAAGTTAAGAAAGAAAAAAAAAAGTAGACAACCAAAATGAAATGTCTGAAAATTATCCAAGTTTTTTGCGTGACCTGGACCCAGACACGTTTACGATTTTCAAGCCATGACACTTTTCCCCCCATTTTGACTTTTCATCATGATTCGGGACAGGGAACATTTTCAATATTTCAACAGTTCTCCCTGGGCGGGACAAGCGTTTCCAGCCATGCCCCTGGGCGTCCCGTTCCAGGCCTGCCACGGCATCCCCATCCGTCCCGGCGTTGGCACTGCCCCCCTCAGAGGGCATCAGCCCCACATCAGACAGCCCCTCCTTCCCCTACATGGGGCTCGCTGAGTCTGTCCCTTAGCAGCGGGAGCTCCTTAAATACCCCATCCCCTTTCCCAGCATGCCTTGCCCTGAACTACAACTCCCAGCAGCCCCTGGGAACTACAAGTCCCAGAAGCCCCTGGGAACTGCAAGGGGCATTCCATCCCAAGGGGCGTTCCATCCTGCTCTGCAAATTGGCTGATTCTCATACGCTGCCCCCCGCACTCACCTTCTCCACGTCGCCCAGCCCCTCGGTGTCTAGCAGCACCAGGGTGTGGCCGGCCCGGCGGGGGTGGGGCAGGCACCACATCCAGATGCCCTTGGTGTGCGACTGGACGGTGGAGCCCAGCGAGAACCCTGGGGAGAGAGGGGCGGAGCTGGGACAGTCACAGAGCAAGGGAACCCAGGAGTCCTGGCTCCCACCCACCCCTGCTCTGACCCACTAGACCCCACTCCCCTCCCAGCATCAGGGAGAGAACCCAGGAGTCCTGGCTCCCAGTCCCTCCCCCGCTCTGACCACTAGACCCCACTCCCCTCCCAGTGCCAGGGAGAGAACCCAGGAGTCCTGGCGCCCGGGGGCAGGGCTCACGTCTCTCACCCGTTCTCTTGCTGGCCAGTTTGTTCATGAGGTAGGACTTGCCGGTGCGGTACAGCCCGGCGATGCCCACCACCACCACGGGCTGGGAGATCTCCGCCAGCACCTGCAGCGCCTCCTGCTGCACCCGCAGCTCCCCCGCCGGGCTGTTCTCGATCAGGCAGATGGGG